GTTTACCATAGTTTGATGAGTTTGGCTACTCAGTAAGTGATTATCATAATCTTAAAAATAATTATGGTTGAAAGATATCAATATTTTCAAAAAGGAGATCTATTAACAAAAATGCATCAATAGTTTTACTTTCAAAAATACATAATTAAGTATAATTCGAATAATTGAAATGCCTATAACATTTTAACGGTAGTGCGTAATTCTAAGGATTTCACAAAATACCCTACTGGCGTCCCAAGTAGGTCACCTATATACCCCATCAACGTCCTGATGGGTCCACAGAATCTCTATCGGTGTCCCAGATAGGTCCACTTAATCCCTACAGGTCCACTTATACCTCACCGGCGTACCAGATGAGTCCACTTAATCCCTACCGGCGTACCGGATAGGTCCACTTATACCTCATTGGCGAACCGGATGAGTCCACTTGCTTACTTAAAGTATTCCTAAATCTCTTTAAATATTCTAAAGCAGCAATATCATGTACTCAACATATCACTGCAATTATTAATATGAATTTCACTGAAACCATTAATAACAGTCACTTTCAATAACATTTCAAGAATACCCAATCAAATATTTTGGGCTCAAATTCAGAAAGGTAGCAGTTCGTAAAGACATTCTAGCATAATTGCTAATCTAGTATGTATAGAAACACTCTTATAGAAATCCAAGAATATGGAATTATCACAATTTATGGGATGTTAATTCGCAAATAAATATTTCACCGACATTGCTATAATCAAATGAAAAAATATCAGTTTTCAAATAATAAGGTAGTCATTTGTACTTGAATTTTACAATGTCTAAATATTAAAAAATAGTAGAAAGAAATCTCACAATTTTACTAAAAGCAGAAATATCTCATTTATTTCTAATAATTTTACAGTATCTAAAATTCTCTAGCAATAGACAAGAAAAATACATTTATTTCTAAGAATTTACAGCATTTAAAATTTCTAACATAGATAAAATATCACAATTTTATTAAAAAGATTATTTTTCGAGACAATGAGATCACTTACAGTTGCTCCCCAGATTTAATTCATCGGAACCATATATAGGTCTGGACCTTCAAAATGGTCTAAGAGATTCAAGGTTTAGAGTCCTTAACCTTTACTTTGTACAGTTACTACTCTCACCTTTTTATTTTCTTTGGAGGAACTAACCCTTATCGAATGGTCAAGCCCCTTGAAATTGCCCACTACATGGCAAAAGTAAAAATTATATAAGTGAAGGAAGACCTCATTATTAGGCTGTTAAAAAGGGATGGTCGGAGAATGACTACTCCAAGAGAAACATCAAAGCGTGCTTTCTTGTTATCCTCAGAACTCATACATATATAAGGGATATAAGGGAGAACACTTTTTTTTTTTTTTCTAATGATTTACAATATTTAAAATTCCTAAGAGTAAATAAAATTTCTCAATTTTACTGAAAGTTTATTTTTTTCTAATTAATGAGGTTGCTTGCACATAAATTTATCGCGCCTAAAATTCATGATAATAAGCAGAAGTAATTATTTCATTTCATTTTTTAAAAAAGAACGAATTATTTTTCAAGATAAAGAAGTCACTTACCTAGAATATTTGAAAGGGAACTTCCGAAAAAAATTCTGCTAGAGAGAGGACCTCACTGTGTTTGTAAGAGGGAGAGCGAGAGTGGAGTTCTGTAAGGCGACGCCTTACCCTTCACCCTATTTAAATCTTTTAGAACGCCTCTACCTCATGTGTGAGGTGTAGCGTAAATGTCTGCCTTTAACACATGAAAACTACGTGGCAATGCAACAAAGCTTAAACCAAATGAAGGTAAAAGCTTTTGAAAGTAGTAATTGTCCCTAAGGACCATCATGCTTATACGAACCATCACTTATTAAAAGCTGTTTTTGTTTTTTTTTTGAAATTTTAGGATTATTACAATATAACTTATTGGCAATAGAGATGACACTTTCTTTTGGTTCAACAAATAGCTTGGTGATGCACCTTTCTCTTCTTCTTATCTTGACCTCTTTGCTAGAGTTGCTCAACCTGACGCAAAACTTTCAAAGTTGATTTCTCTTTCTCCCTCTATTTGTATGGTTTGGAATATCGGATGCTGCTACAATAGGCTACCAGACATGGTTATTTTGTTGCTTCATAATCACCTCCAACAGCTTGAACAAGTTTACATCTCTTCGAATGTCGAACACTTGGTCATATGGGAATAAAAAACGGACATACTTTTTTTCAGCAGATCAGTGTATAAGCTCCTTTCTATGGATTGGGTCCGTAATGTTGATATCTCTTTGGATTCTATTTGGAAATGGCCAGTTCTAGTAAAAATCCAAGCCTTCCTATGCCTGCATGTCAAAGGAAATGCTTAACATTAGACAACCTACAAAAGAGGGGTAAAATTCTTCTAAATATTTGCTTGATGTGCAAAACTGATGAAGAATCTGGCTCCCATCTTTTCTTTCACTTTCCTTTTCCCTTTAGCTTATGGCTCTGGGCCTTCTTTTTATTAGGTTTTTTCCTCATGATACCTTTGAATCTCATCAACATTATTAACCATCTTTCTGCCATTGGATTACTAAAAAAAAGAGTTGTGATTTGGAAAATTTTCAGAAGTGAAATCTATGGTAGATTTGGTTAGAACGTAACAAAAGAACCTTTGATGGGATGTCTCAGAGTATTGAAAGGGTAAAAGATCTCATTTTACAATCTCTTTGGAATTGGTTTTCCTCCATGCCTGAAGGACGGGTTGCTCTTCGAACTGATATTTATATCAATCCAAAATTTCTAGCTCATTCCTCTTCTCACTCTCGCCATCCCTTTAGAACTTGGATTGCACCTCTAGAAGCTTGCCTCAAGCTTAATTTTGATAGTAGCTCATTTAGAAATCTAGGGCTTGCAGGTGCTGGTGTGCTTCTTCGCAACAATTTGGATCGGTTCTTTTTTCTTGTTCGAGTCCTTGTGGGTCTACAACAACTAATCATGCTGAATTGGCTACTCTCCTTCAAGGCCTTCATATTATCATCGACAAGGGTTTCATTGGTGATATTATAATTGAAGAGGGATTCCCTTAATGTTATCAAGTGGTGTAGAAAAGAGCAAATGATCCCTTGGTCCTTATTTACTATTTGGTTAAAAATTCAATAACTATGTGGCTGGCCTAATTTGATGATAAGCTTCGGCCACACTATGCGTGAAGCCAATGATGTTGTTGATGGGCTTGCTAAATATAGTGTTTCTCTTCCCTTTTTGCATGTTTCTAATAATTTGATTTAATCTTTGTTATCTCATGCTTTTAAAGCATTGCTTTAATAAAAGTTCATAACATTTGTTAAAAAAAAGTCCTTCAATAAATAATATTTAACGGTGATGAGGAGTTATTTAAAACACGTTGGCTAAACTAAATAATGGAGGTCATTTCGGTTATAAGGCCGTTATATACTGCTTAACGCCCAACATAAAATAATGTTGAGAAATACAAACAGTGCTATTATAATGGAAGAAAAAACAATTTTTTCATAAAAATAAAATTAAATAAAGAAACATATTGTTAAAATATTACACCATTTTTTTCACTATTTTTCTGTTATTATAGTTGTTTCTTCTGTTATTATAGTTGTTTCTTTATTTCTTTAAAACAAGAAATGTATCATCTTATTTTTGTTAGTTCCTGATTTTTGTTTATACGATTTTCAAAGTTAGAGATTGAAATTTAGGAAATTTCTTACACAGTGGGAAGTAAACCTTACTTGAATATTCAATGAAATTAAATCATGACATTTAAGGACTTTTTTGTTTCCAGTAAAAATAAAAAATATGATATTTTCCATATTTTAATATAATTTTTATGACTAAAGGTATTTAATTTTTGTTTAAATTACAAATTTAAGAGTATAATAATTTCATTGGTCACACCACCCAACATCCACCATCTTCACTTTTCCTCGATGGTGGGAGATGAGTTACACATTTTTTGTTAGGCGGTTCATTAAATAATTGAAGCAAAGACACACCTCCAAAATCCAGTGAAAGATGTAGTCAAGGGGACAAAAACCCCTACAATGGATTCAAAATCTATTGCTATTCTTAATTTTTAAATTTAAAGATTAAAAAGTGGTGAATGTCGAGCAGATTTATAAACACTTAAAAATCTTGAAAATAAACAGCCCATAGAAACTGCACTATTTTAAAGCTTGGAATCTTTCTTTTTTTCATATCCTTGCATCCAAAGTCCATATGCTCAATTGGAGGGTTTCCATTGCTGGAACAATATTTCTTAGTCAACTTTATTTGTGCCTTATTTTAAAAGGTTATGTTAGGGTGCTCACACTGAATTGCACTTTTTACTTGTACTCAACAAATTGTAGACACTTATATACCCGGGTTTTGTAATATAGTATTTTTTTAATAAGGGTATTTTTTATCATTAGAAGGGGTGTGTCATCATTCATGTGGGTATAACATTATCCACCTGGAGTATTAAATGTCACCAGTGTGTACCATGTGGGTGATGTCATCGGTGTGATATCATCCATGTAGCATGTGACATCACCCACATGTGGGTGATGTCATCATCCACATGGGGTATAACATTACCTACCTGGAATATTAAATGCCACTAGTGTGCTTCATGTGGGTGATATCACATTCTACGTAGATGATGTCACACCCCTCATAATGATAAAAAGTACCATTACTAAAAAAATGCTCAATATACAAAACAATGCTATATAAATATCTAAAATTTGTTAAGTACATTTATAAAATAATATATAATGTAAGCATCCTAACATAACTCTATTTTAAAAGCATAGTGGTGAGCCATATATAATCTATTTCCAATACTTTTTGAAGGAGGAACAATTACGCTAGTCCACCCTAGAGGTAAGCGCTGATGTGGATGGGTGTAGATACATGCACTTAGTATTATACTCATATGAGGTATATACTACATAGTTGTGTTCTAGGAATCAAACATAAAATTGAACCGGTGAGAGGTGAGGTATTCTACATAGTAGTGTTATAGGAATCGGACTTAAAATTGAACTGATGAGAGGTTTGATCTAGTAAATATTAATCCATTCACTAATCAAATTAGATATTGAAAAAGTAACATGACTATAATTTAAAAACACAAATATATTACAAAAATTAACCCCAATTTGTCTAATCGGTCCAACTATTCAAAATCAGATGATTTAATGGGCTAAATCTTATTTGATCAATTTTCGACCATCACCAATATTATCTGGAATGGACCACCTAAGGAACTAGTTGGCCATCCGATTGATCGGTCCGAGAGAGCCAATCGTCTCTATATATATATATATATATATATATATATAAGGTTTAAGCACTCGACGAAAGCCTAACATATAGGGCACAAGTGACACTACTATACTCCCATGAAGTATGAGAATACTCAGCAAATAGTTACATCAAGGACGTGTTTGATTGTGGAAGAAGGGGTTACCATATGGAATCTGGAAGGGGCAGCTTCCTACTTTTATGTTGTAAACCCCCATGGTGCACCGTGCATTTTCCACGTGGGTCCCACAAATGTGGCATTGGGATTGGTAGAACTGGAGTCATCCACTAACCGTAAATTCCACCAAAACAAACGCACCAAAATACTGAAAGCGAGTATTTATGATTTCTGTAAAATGCATGAGAGAAAACATACTGATGAGAGCATGGATTCCAAGTAACGCTAATAACAAACAACATTACTGCATATCTTTCTCCATTGCATCATCATGTCTAAAATAACACAAACTTAAAGAAAAAAAAAAAAAGAGAAGGAAAAATAAAAAAAATAAAGTCAAAATAACACAAACTTAAAAGAAAAAAAAAAAAAAGAAAAAAAAAAAAATAAAAGTCAAGCTTCCTAGCTTTTTTTCACTTCTCCAAAATTCTGAACAAATGGAAGAGTAATATTCAGTCTCTCAGATGAAAGTGATAAGAATTGCTACGAATAAACTCCAGTTAAATCCGGAAGAAAAAAGCCGGAAAGTCAGCCTTTCATGATTCGCTAAGGAAAAAAGAAACTAGAGGGAGAAAAATTTAAAACTGAGAGAGAGAGGATGGGTGAGCACAAACTTCCTGGTGCTAAGAGTCCTTGGTCTTCTCATCATCAAAGGCCGAGTTAGAGCGAGATAAAGTTAAAGATCTCGGCGTCCTCGGTCTGTATGTCTCAATCCTATTCCCTTTATCGTCGTAAATAATGGACTCTTCATCATCAGAGCTTGGCACCTTGCAGCGTTCTCCCAAAATAATGGTTTTCTTCCAAATCAAATCTCCTCCTCCTCCTTCATCTTCGCCTTCCTTCTTCCGGCCAAAGCTCAGCTTCCGGCTGAGACTTATGGCCAATTTACGAGCAAGCGGAGGAGGGTCTTCGTGCTTCTGTGGTGGATCAGGGGGACGAGGAGGAGGAGGAGGAGAGGAGGCTCGGTGACTGTGGGCTCGGCATGCACAGAGGCCCATGACTCTCTCCCTCTCTCTCTCTCTCTCTTAGACTATGCTCTCTCTAGAATTCTTTTGGTGCACTCTCTCTCTCTCTTAGACTATGCTCTCTCTAGAATTCTTTTGGTGCACTCTCTCTCTCTCCAGAATTCGTCTGTTTTGTTTTTCAGTTTTTCTTTCTTTTTATAGGATGTGGTTAGAGAGGCGATAGGCTTAGGAAGTTCCATTCTTTTAGCGAGATGCCCTGGTGGCAAAGGTGAGCAATGGGCCGGGCCTGCCTCGGCCCAGCCCCTCTCTGTTTCCTATATGGCAGGCTTAGGCACTGCCTTGGCCTTTTTTGAGTCGTGCCGGGTCAAAAAAAAAAAAAAAGGGTTAAGCTGGGCTGAACACGGCTGGCACTGGACCTAACATATATGGTCGGCTTAGACATTGCTTTGGCTTCTTTAGGCCGGGAAGTGCCAGATAAAAAATAAATGAAGAAAAATAAGAAAAAAAAAAAAATGAGGGTTACGCGGGGCTGAACATGGTTGGCACTGGCCCTAACATATATGGCCGGCTTAGACATTGCTTTGGCTTCTTTAGGGCAGGGAAGTGTCGGGCCAAAAATAAATGAAAAAAAATATAAAAATAAGAAAAAAAAAAAAGGGTAAGTCCGTACGGAACCGGGCTGGCACTGGCCCTAACCTGACCCTCAGGCCATTTTTGTGGCTCATGCCATACTTTTTTTAGGGCCAAGCCGACTGGGCCCGAACGGACTTACTATTTTAGGGCCAAGCCAACTGCCCCGGGCGCACGTACTCTTTTAGGGCCAAGCCGACTGGGCCGGGGTCCATTGCCAGCGCTACTTCTTGGTCTTTGAGACTCGTGAGAATATGACGTTTCGTTTTCAGTGGAGGATAGTTGCACGAGGTAGCTGAAGCCTAAAGATTTAGTGTTCCCCAGGCGAACAATGTCTGTTTACTACCGCTGGTAAAAACTAATACACAAGCATTTTTAGAAGCTTGAGCAGATATCTTTACAAACTAGCGACTGATTGCAGAGAGAAAAATTTTAGATTCATTTTTTATGTGCTGGAAAATAACACCTTAATTTAAACATAGGCCGTCTAATTTTTGGAGGGTGAGATTTAAGCCTTGAAGAATTCAAAACCTAATTTTCATTTCTTAAAAATGATGATATGATCTGATCTTTCTTATATGGATATCGAAATTTGATATCGAAAAAATCCTCCAGAATAGATCTTTCGCAAAGGATTGTAAAGCACAATATCCTCATGTTAAAGCATAGAAATATAGGATTAAGTGCATTATAAAGAGAATATCTTTTATACATGGAGGTCACAATCATTTCCACTCATTGGATGTCAAATTGAATGGCTTGGGATGAGTCACAAAATCCGAAATTTTTTTTTTTGGAACTTGTGTCTATTCAATGACGCTCTTACAATCACCCATTTTGAAATTTAACGGACAATAATAACTGTGACCTCTATGTACAAAAGATAAATGGTCTATTTGTAAACAACCACTTAAAAATAATATAATTTTTTTTACAAATTTCAATTGCGGTCTTAAATTTGTATAATTCATTTTGTTCCAGCTTTGCCCTGTTTCACAAGTAAAAACTTCGAACTAAAAATATGTTCGAAATTGAAAGTCTCGAACAACCATTTGGGTCCAAAAATAAGTGACGGCAGTTTAAGGGTTACACCTTCGAACTGATCCATACTTAGAACTTTTTGCTTTTTTGGTTTGAGTGTTGCTCAAAAGTGACTTTCGAACGAAATTCTCATTTAAAAGGAAAACAGATAAATAAGCTATTTGAAAATTCTTATTGTTTCAAACCCTCTTTTTTTTTAATACCTGTCTCCCTCTCTCTTCCATTATCCCTGTCTTTCTTACAGCTTGGAAGGTTTGGAATTGGGACTTTTGGACCGCCAAAACTGGAACTTAACAACATCCCTATAATAAGACCAACAAGCTCTGGATATTTGTCGCAATAAGGTAGTGGTTTTCAATTTATGTTTTTAGGGAAGCGAATGAGAGGGCATACTCGCTTGTTAAGGATGGAGTGTTTGCCTTATCTTTGATGCTCAATTTTTTATCCTTTTAATTGTTATGTTTTTCATCTTTTCATTGTAATCATTGGATTGATTGAGTAATAACGTCATTGTGATCGAGGACCCAAGTGCCATTTGGACCCAAAAGTGTAGTTTGAAAATTTTAATTTCAAACCTGATCAAGGTTTTATTTTTTAATCGGGGTAAAATTGAAATAAAAAATTTAGGACCTTATGGTAAAATTTATGAAAAAATAGACCTTTTTAGTTCAGGAAAAAGTTTATATAGAGCGGAGATTCTAAACAATCAAATTAGAGCCTATCTAAAAAATTTCACTAGAAGAGGTTGTTTTGATGCCCAAATATCGTCAAATTGATCATCTCGACATCAAGATGCATTGACATGAGAAAAATATAGATTTTTCAGTTTTGAAAATAGTGTATTTTATAACACACTTTTGGACCATTATTTTTCAAGATTTTCAAGTTTTCATAGATCTATTCATCTACACTATTTTTGAAGCTTTAAAATTGATAAATAAAAATAAAATTATATTTTAAAGCTAGCACAAATATTTCCAGTTTTGAAACCACATTGTCGATACTATTCGAAGGTGGGTTCTAGTTTGATTGTTTAGAGCCTAGGCTCTATAAAAGCCGCACCCTTTAATTCAAATAAATATCCTTTCCGTTACGGTTTTCTTTTCTTTCATTTTTCTCTCCCCTCCTATGACCTCAAGTTTTTAGGGAGTATTTGCCTACTTTCCACGTTTGTAAATGCTCTACGGAATTTAATAAAAGGGTCATGGACCCCATTTTCTTTCACATATCTTGAGTTTCAGTTATCCTCGCTTTCCCGAAATATGTTACAAGCAAACAATTTTACCGAGGAATACTAAGAATATATGCAAACTTTTCAAACTTCAGATTTCCAGACAAAAATAAGGATTAAAAGAAGAAGATTATTCATTTGTTCATTTTGTTGTCAGTTTTAAAAAAAAAGGACAAACGCAAATTCGGCAGCAACCATTCCCCTTTTTGAGCTTTATATGGATGATTATGTTAGCGGTGGTCAGGTCTAGGTTGACCTCGACCCGACTAGGCTTCATATGGACCTGCGCTCAAATTGTATTTAAGTATAGAAAAAATTAAAAAAAAAATCTATTTTAATAGCATATATATATATATATATATATATATATATATTGTCTACCCGAGAGATCATTCTGCCTCGATTCTGAGGGATCATTCTGCCTCGATTCTGATTGATGATTCAATTGGAAAAGAACATAGATTTATATTTATGTTAGGATGATAAATTTCAATGTCTCGCCAATCACTGAAATATCTACAAAATCCTCAGTATTGGAAGAAATGTGGGATTGGTGAATATATCACATCCCACTTGTAACCTTTCTTTCCTTTCGGATAACTGGAATAGTTTAGAAATTACCAACCTTGATAGGGTTAAAGCCAGATTTGGACCCCGACCGAACCATCTTGGCCCAATACTGTAGGATTAAGAACCTCTTAGATGTGAAAGCAATAATTCCAAAAGTTGGATCCCATAAAAAATATGTACTTATTCAACTTGAAACAAAATAAGCGAGATTACAAGCTATAATACGAGAAATAAAGCATAACACACATCACAAGAGCACAAAGATTTATGTAGTTCACCCCGAGAGGGCTACATCCACGGGCATGACAAACTAAAATCCACTATATTAATGAAAGTTACATCATAAATTTTGAGACTTGGAGTTACCTTTAATCCTTGACAAAACCCAGGCGAGCAAATCTTTTGAGACTTGCTCTCCTAACGGAAAAGAACCTTGAGAGCAACCGAAACTTTCTTTAACTAAAAAGAGAAATCACCCAAAATTTTTATGGGACGTGTTTCTCTATAAAAAACCAGTTTCTCACTCTACAGGAAGCACATCGTAGTGTTCCATTTTTTTCCATAGGAAGAAGTTCTCTTCTCTCTAAGCAGAAGTCTTGCCTCTTATGCATAGGAGGCATCTGCCTCTTTCTAGTAGAAGCCACATTTCCCATATGGTGAGCCAAAAAGGGCACACATATTCTCCCCTCTTTCATCCTATATGTAGAAAGTTAAAAATCCACACTAAATAGGAAACTTCCTATATGTGTTACATATATATAAAAAACCAAGAGATATATCCAAAAGTCTTAATATTTTTGGATTTCTATTTCCTTTATGAAATTTATCAATATCAATCTCAATCCTACAAAATATGAGATTTTCTTAGGTGGGTGATTTCACCATATCCAACAATCTCCACCTTGATATTAAAATCACTTGCTCACCATGCCAACATCTATTGGATAAATTTATAAATTATTCATCTTTTGCCAAATAAATTCTTTCATAATTCTTGTTGAAAAAAATGCTTGCTATCATATTTTTCGACTTCAAATAAAACACTTTGCATACTTTGCCATATGCTTTTCTTCAAATGAATGCACAAACACTAGCTTTGCACTAAACCATACACTCTGACACTACTTGTTAGGATATCAGAACTCTCTTAGATACGGAAGCATGAATCTAAAAACAAAATAAGCGAGAGCATGAGCCATAATATGAGATATAAAACATAAAATAAGTACATACACCACAAGAGTGTAAATATTTATGTGGATCACCCTAAGAGGGCTACATCCGTAGCACGGCAAACTGAAATCCACTATACAAATGCAAGTTACATTATAGATTTTGGGACATAAAGTTAATTCTAACCCTCAACAAAACCTCGAGTAAACTCTTTTGATCGTGCTCTCCCAACTGGCACCATTGCCAATCTCTCATCTCTATTCCATAACTAGACCACAATCCAGAAAGAGAACCTTAAGAGCAACCAAGACTTTATCTGACTAAAAGGGGCAACATAGACTTTATCTAACTAAAAGGAGAAATCACCCAAAATCTCCATGGGAACCGTTTCTCTACAAGAAACTAGCCCCTCACTCTGCAAGAGCACATTGTAGTATTTCATTTCTCCCCAT